ACCTTCCTAATGCCGCGACCCTTTAATACAGTTCCTCATGTTGTGGTGACCCCATCCATAAAAATATTTTCATTGCTACTTCATAATTGTAATGTTGCTACTGTTATGAATCGTAATGTAAACATCTGATTAGCAGGATGTATTTTCAGGGGTCGCGACCCACAGGTTGAGAACCGCTGGTAGGCAAACTGGAGGAACAAGTATGAAAAAAATTGAATCATGCTGATTTAAGGGGACCATGCAATCGACACATGGAAACAGTCTATTGGAAATGGAGTTCTTGCTCTAAAAAGAGGAATCAACAAACCACGAGGTTTGGGATCACCAGCACAGGTAAGTTCCATTTTTATCTGTGCTGACATAAAATTCTGTGTGTCTCTATCTCAATACCCAAGTCTATTTTGTACTACAACCTGCCCCAAGCCCAGACTGTTACATGTTGAGGTCAAGGGTCTCTCATTCATCTAAACAAGTTGGGAGAAGTTGAGAAGTAAAAAGCACAATGGCTCAGCGGACGCCAACCAGCTAGACTCCCCATTCCACCCCTTTGTATCTCCGAGCGGACAGGCATATATTTCCTGATCTAACCCCTAGAATATACATTTCATGAAGGCACGGATCTTTTTTTCTATTTGTTCACCTACAATAAGTACATACTTTATGAAACTTGCTCTCTCTCAACTTCCTTATGTGAAATGGGGACAGTAACAGTTATCTACTCTTATACATTCAGTTGTAACGATTAGATTATTTTTGAAGGGTTCGCTGCTCGTTTGATCATCAACAATGTCCGCGAGTCTCAGCAAGGAGCACCTGGGGCGGCTTTCCTAGGGAAAGTGTTGGCTTGCATTTGAGAAATAACATGAAACCCAAACACGTGGGAAACAAATCATGGCAACTGAAGTTCCCCGGACAGCCTTGCTCTGTGTTTGTCTTCCAAGCCTGCTCCCCACGGGACATGATGAACGGAGACGGATCGGTAGGAAGCTGGGTGCCCATCTGAAGCCAAGCACGTGGTCCAGGTTAGTAACGGAGCATCCAATACCCGGGCTGTGCTGGGACAGACCCACAAGCCAGGGGAAATGCGGACGGACGACGGATGGATGGATGGACGGACGGCCATACCATCGAAGGGGTGATCAAGAAACATGCGCCTTGAAAAACCTTCTTTCTACGGACAAGGTGCAGTGACAGAAAGAGGGACAAAGTGCCAAAGAAGAACACAGGGGGCTCCATACATGTTATCTGACTTAGATGAATCCCAATCATGTTTCCATTCGATTTATAAAACGTCTATGGTTGGGGAAACAAATTTGTAACCAGCACTGGGATCCTCAGAGTAGAACAGAATAAAAAATAAAAAAAAATTAAAAAAGGAAGCCTGTGAAGGGGACAGCCGTAAATGAGGTTAGAAAGTCAGATTCAAAGCAACCAACTACCAGTGGCCCAGACCCGCGTTGACGCCCCTGCACTTGCCAAACTTCAGGGGCGCGTTCACCTCCACGGACGCCTGGGGGTCGATGGTGTCCGACACGATGGCCACCTCCTTCGACTCCTCGTCATACCGAACGTGCAGGCCGGCCAGGTGCGGCGCCCCGCCCTCCGTGCCGCT